CAGCAGAAAACAAAGAGGGGTAGGTACCTCCCCCCAGAAAACTTGCAACGCCAAACAAAGCCACTCAAAACGGTGTCAGAGTGACCATTCCAGATGGCACCAGCAAGCCAGGCCATCCCAGCCCTTTGACCCGAAGGTCTAAACAGCCCACAGGTTGGATTATGTGGCAACGGCGTTTTCATGTAGCGCTAATGCTCTTCTGGGGCTTCCCGCTTGGACAGACATGTGCAGGATTCCCACATACCTACTGGTCCTAACACTGCCATCAGTCATTATTTGCGGGTTGGACGGGTCTGTGCGGAGAGTGATGAATCTCACTGTGGCCTCGTTGCGCAACGGAACTCAGCCAGTTCCAATTGCAAGGAGCTGCCTGTCCACAACAGCCTCCATCGTCCATGACTTCCCCAAGCACCTCGGTTGCGCCCTGTGCGTCTTACAAACTGGATTTGCTGGTCTGCAGACATGTCCAAGAAAAGTCCTTCTCAGCACCCTTGGTGAGTCCATGCAAAAACACAGCACATTACGGAAACCATCTTGTCAGTGGAGAGGGCACGGCACGCCCTATGCAGTTATGGGAAGGGTTGTACTTCTTCCACCTGCTTAGGAAGGGCTGTACCGCTTCCGCTTGCTCTGGCGTTGTGGCGCTTTACAGTGCCTACAACAAGGGTAGGGACAGTTACGTCTGTAGCCTAGCTTCCCTTCCCGCTTGAACCAGAGCAGCTTGAGCCATGTTGAAGACATAACGGCTCGTCATGGTTACAAGCGCATCGTGGGGATGTTACAAGATGAGCGTGCCTATCTTCAGGAGGCAAAATTGAAGCAAGCGTTCGATGCGGCGATCTTTTGCAGAGGTGGGCAGACGGTTACGGGCGTTTTTGCCACGAAGAAACTTCCTTCGCTGAACTCCGCAAGCAAGGCCGCGATCTTCTGGACAGTGATGGTGGAAATATCTGGGTGGTTTCACTGTCGATCATCAGCGAGGACTCCATGTGCTGACAGACGGTAAAAATTGACAGTCGCAAAGCAAACGATCACCAAAATCTTCGCAGATACTGAAATGAAATCTCATGTCGAACTTACTGGGGTGAAACCTGGGATGGTGGCACCGGCATCCACTATGACGGTGATGAGCCTGAGATTGGAACCATGGCTATGACGTTTTCTATGGGAAGGCAGGACCGGGATGTCATCGAAGACTTCCACGGGCTTGATGAGGAGGCGGGTGAGACTTACGTGATCTTGGACGAGCCCTTGCCTGAGATGGTGCAGGAAAGTGATACGGTCGAGCTAGCTGGTTAGTACTTCAGACCACGGAGACCGTCAGCGACCTCAGTGGAGCCGCGGTGGCAGTCAAAGTTTCACACTCCGCTCATCAAACCCTCTGCAGGTTGCTTGCGTACAGAGACCAAGCACGGGTGCAATGCCACATGGAGCTGCACGAAATGCACCAGGTGCGGCGCCACCGAGATGACTCCCAAGATGGACCCGGCAAAGTTGGCTTCAAGCTAGCAGATTACGTGATCCCCAAAAAGAAGAAGGATGCAGCGGCGGCAGCCGCTGCCGGCAAATTCATCGCAACAACGCATGGACCAGTTGCTCGGGATGCTGCGCCTGTGACACTCACAAGGATGAGCTCTTACAGGCCACCGTTCTTGGCAGCATTGTTGGTGAGGTCACTGGTGCGGGAGATGATCAAGACGGGCTGATGCAGGGTCAAACCCAAGGCAATCTTCAGCCCAAGAATGTCTTCGTACGAGGAATGGCTTTCAGGCCGATCAGATGGCAATTGATGTGCAAGATGGCCGGACGGAGATTCAATACTGGCAGCAGCAGCAGCAGCATCAGCATGCAAGACAGCAACTCTCCTGGACGAGAAAACTAAGACGGAACTCCCCGATTCGCGCCCACCCGGATCCGATTCCCACGATCCGATTCGTGCCACAACCCCACAAATACTTCAAAATACCTCCTTAGCAAGGAGGAAGCCTCCAGAGTGAGAGTCGATTTCAGGCTGCGTTTGGATGGGGTTCGCGGGGCCCCTTGGAGAAACGGAGGTCCAACGATGCAGGATGATGCAGGGTCGGCGGACGATGAGACACGATGCACGCTCGAGACGGTCTTTGAGGGTGCGTTGGGGGTCGGAAGCAATGTCTGTCAAGCAGCAAGGGTGCATGAAATGTGGGCGGACTACGATCCTTGAATGGACGCGTAATAGGAAGAGGAGGGCGGCAGAGCATGGTGTTGATGTGTGGTTGGGTGGTGGGGTGCACGGCTTTGACTGCTGCTGCAGCTTAGGAGCCCGCGGCGAAGGAGTTCCAGTCGCCCAAGCCAATCCCCTCCACACTCCACACCTCTCCGCACTCCTAAGCGCGCCTTAGCCCCAGCTGCAAGGCTTGGTCGTCTGTGTAAAAGGAAGGGACCACGTTCCGACTCGTCTTTCCCTCCTCCCAAGCCTCCTCCACGAAGGCCCAAAATTCGTAGCAGGAAGGGGGACAGACAATGAGCCCTGTTCCTTCTTGCAGGACATGACTTCCTGTAAAACTTGCGGCCGAGCGCGCGGCCATCAACCTGAAAGGCGCGCATGCTTGGCTGTCAGTTTCTTTCAGTAATCCATGCAGAGCTGTCAATGTTACACAGTTGGGCATGTTTGCGCCTGCTGAGCTTACGGAAATATTTGCCCAGGTATCAGCAGCGACTGAAGGAGATTCGCACTTGGACTGAGGAGGTGCGGCAGATCAAAGGGCAGAAAGACTTCGATGCACCGGTGCTGAAGGTAGATTGACCTAAAGATGGAACATACATCATTTGCAATCTATCTTTGTGTCTGTCCCCTGTGAAGCGTATGTCAGCGAACCAGCTGTTGAATTTGTTGTGAACAAGAGACAGCTGCCCATTGCACGGCACCAATGGCGACGTGAGATGGTCCTAGCACATGCAGGATGACACGGAGGAGGAGGGCGGAATTGTGGAGTATTGCGGCCTGATTGTGGGCCTGACCCTGATTTTTCGTCTGCTGAGCACCATTTTTATGATTTTGGGGAGCGCGCAGCCATGGGCACTCTGCTCTTGTGAGGTCTGTTGATCTTGCTGATCATTGTGGCCATTTTGGTGTGGGCGTACTACCAGGACCAAAAGGCTCAGTAAGAAAAAGGGCACAGCAAGTTAAATGAAGGCCGAGGCTGAGGTTGTTGCTAGTGAGAAAGGTCAGGCTCCTGCAAAACTGTTTGCAGGTGCTTAGACGCGACGAGCTGCCCGATGAGGAGCTGTAGTCCTCACTTCCAGCCCTGCCACAAATGAGCTTTGCCGACACTTTCCATGCCATATGCCCTTCAGAAGTACTAGTAGTAGCTCAGAAGCCATGTGGGCCTGGGCCTGCAAGTCGCAACGCTTGGTGGCAGAGCAGGAACTGTTAATGATCTTTGCGTAGACTCTGATCCCGCCTGCGCACTCAAAGATTTATTTTTGGTGTGATGTCGAAGTCCTCCATGACTCATGTGCTCCTCAACTCACATCCAGCATCCGCTGGCTGTGTGGGTGTGTGCCATTGACGTTTGCTCGAACAAGCGTTTGATAATGGCATGCCCATGCTTCTTACTGAGAAGCTCTGTTGAAGCTGACTGTGGCCATCCCAATTGGCAAGCATAGGCAAGCAACCAGCAGCCAGCAGCATGTTCTTTTGCGCAGTTCAGGATAATGAATAATCTCCCCTTTTGTGATATAAGGGACCTATTCATAAATGATTTTGGGGGCCTTGAAGTACCACCCAGACAAGTCTTCTGTGGTTGGATTCCCAGGGATAGCGGTTGCTTGATTCTCCGCGTCCTTTGGGCTCAAGCTCTTTGCTAGCTATCCCAAATTTCAATTAGATTCGCAAGTCGAAGCCCGGCTACGAGACTGGGCGAGTTGCAACGAAAGACCCTGGAAAGGTAGTTAGGCACAGATGTGGCAGTGCAAGACGCGAGACAAGTAAGCCTTTACTGAATAATTGCAATGCTTTTGAAGTTCCCTGTGCACTTCTGAAATGCGCCTTGACATGCTTAGCGATACTCAGGCAGAGCGTTTGTCGTAGGATGCCAGAACACAATGTGGTCTCCACCGGATAGTGTCATTGCCAGCTTTTGTTGAGAGCACGCTGTGGCGTGCATGCAATTGTCGAGCTGCCTTTGTCTGCCCTTCCTCCTGGGCAAGCAAGTCATGGGGGCTCCCCGATCGCAATCCTTTGCTGCTGTACAAGGTGTTGGGAGAAAGTTTTGCAGTCTTTTGTCATGCAACCATGCACGAAGTACTATGTATGCTTGCAGACTCAGAAAATCTCATCCTTTGCATGAGCAAAATCATCCTGACTAGATTTTGGCATTCTCCTTCCTTCTCACGTTTTCGCCTCATCAGTCAAGCCCTCAAGTGCTCAGCCCAGCGGCCTGCAGGTGGCGCGCGGCCCTTGCCTCGGCAAAGCTTCGTGCATGCTGTTACGTGTTACTTTCTGCAAATATGCAGGGGCCCAGCATCCTCCAACGACAAGGGCGAGCCGATTCTTCGCTCACAGTCCTTTACTGGGCTGATGGCAAGCTGTGGCCCGAGGGTGGCCTGAGGGATTGTCCTGGACGATGGCAGACATGTCGTGAGATCTGCCTGACATACGCCAAGGTTCTGAAACATCTGCTGCAGCTGCTGCAGCTGCTGCAGGTAACACAGCCACTGCTGAGCCAGGAAGCAGGCAACCATCTTGGAAAACCTGTGAGTGAGATCAGCTATTTTTTGCCTTGATTGGCGTTTCCAGCTGTGATTTTCATGACCAAACCGAGGCCTTCTGCTGAGCAGGCTGGGATACTCCAAAGTTCAGCAAAAAGGTAACCGACGAAGTGCCAGTTCTTCCTGGTCAGGATGGTGCCTCTTCCAACTTGCGCCAGCCTCAGCCGCCTTAGCCTTTCCAACTGCACACATGGCAATGGTCAGCTTCGAAGACCTGCGCAACAGTTCTTCCTTGTGCTGCCACTGCAGCCATGACGCGCAGCATCGTGCAGCAGACTCTGAGGCCCGCCGCAGGCCCATCTGTTCCGCTTCGGCCTGCAGAGCTGAGAGAACTCAGCACAGAGGCAAGGTGCATGGAGGCAGAAACACGAGAAATCCGCGGCGGGTCTGCCAGGTACCTCGGGAGCCTTCCTGGCCCTCGGACGGCCCTTCGTTGGGACCTTCATTTTTTAATTTGCAATGAAGAGAGCACGAAACGCCTCCAGCAGCACCGAGGTCCTGGAAGCAGGCTGAGGCATCGACTCCGACTTCGTTGTCCTCCGGCGTTCAGGCGGCTGAGGCCGCTGGTGAGAGCCAAAATGCTGTGCAGGCCATGGGCTGGCCGCCCTGGTCCACTTTTTTCTGGTTTGCCGATGTGAGGTCCCAGCAGCATGGGAAAGTTCGCCCAACTCAAAGGCCAGCCTGGCGACAGTGTGCCAGGCAGTGTGGTTTGCTCGTTGCAGCCTGAGGTTGAGGCGCCGCTTGTCGACAAGCACAAGTGTACGCAGCTGGCTTAGCTGAGGGATGGCTTGATGTCTGTCTTGATGCATCTTATCCTCCTGTGAGGCCACGGAATCCTTTCTGGGTACAGCCTGAGGTCGCAAAGCTGGTGAAATGCTTTCTGCTTTTCCTCAAAGGGATCAATGTGTGCTTGGACAGGTAATGCAAAAGAAGCCGAGCTCTCGCAGGAGCTGCTTGGCAAAATGTAATTACCGCGACGATATGTGCAGTTTTTCTTTTACTGATCGAAAGTGGTTGCGCTCCTTGTGCAAACTGAGGTTGCGATGGCTTGAATCACTACCTATCCGGCGTGGCTTCCTTAACTGCCTGAATCGAACTTTCAGTTGGGAACGGTGAGGGCGAAGAGTTTTGACAACGGCAGTTTGTCACTTTGATCTGCCGGTCTGCTTCTAAGGCAGCGCCACTTCGATGTCTCAGTGACGTTGTCGATGCTGGCGATCGCAATTATGAGATCGAAATTGCAGAGGAAGACTTGACAACTGTCCATATAAGCAGCTGGGAGCAGCGCCTGGACTGGAGAAGCTTTCTCAGCGAGGCGCGGCATGGCGCGGCAGTTGCTTGGTCGAAGTGTCAGACATGTCAGATGTCAAGACTCGGTTTTTTCAGGCCGTGGCTTCCAGCCTTGCTCGGCAGGCGTTTATGAATTTCGATGTTGAGGCTGGACGGAAATCCAGCATGAGAAATGTGATGTGTTTGAAGGAGATGATGCTCTTTGAAGGAATTCATGATGGCTTTTGTCCTGGACTTGGGTTGATGGGACTTTCGAGGCTGAGCCTCCAGCTTACGCAAGACCGCCGCCTTCCTCTAAAGAAAGCGCACGCGTCTCAATCTTACACGGTAATTTCGTGCTGCCCTGCTTGTGCTGCTGAGTCTCCAAAGCAACCGACCGGCAACCGGCACTGCGTTGCTCCGGACGGCTCGGGTGTAGCGGCCACCTTTTTGCCCAAGTGACATGGGTCATGCCATGTCATGCTTTCAGCCGTATGCCAGGATGGGCGCCGATTTGAGCTGCTTGCGCATGTCCGCCAAGATTTGGGACCTGGGCAGCTGCCAGCTCACAAATCAAAGGGGCTGGCGGAATCCATTTGACACACCTGCCAAGCGAACATTTGCACATGTTTAAGTTGAAGTCGTTCATGCCCAGTTATCAAGGCCAGTCCCACACCAATGACGCTGTTTTCACACGTTTCACCCGGCAGTTCTTTTTGCAAGACCAAGAAATGACACGACATTTGTTTGGTGGCAGCAGCCTTCTTTTTATGCCTTGCAAGGTGCAGTTATCAACATCAACAACAACAACAACAACAACAGCAACAACAGCAACAACAGCAACAACAGCAACAACAACAGCAACAACAACAGCAACAACAACAACAACAACTACAACTACCACTACCATTACCACTATCACTACCACTACCACTACCACTACCACTACCACTACCACTACTACTACTACT